CAGAGATTCCTTTCTTTTATCCCTACCTTCCACAAACTTCTTTATCTTACACTGCAAAAAGGACTAAGGTTTTTCTTGTCTGATCAAGACTTACTTAAAAATTTTAACGAAGTTATTGTAGTACTTTGTATTAACATACCCGTTGGTGCTGTTACAGAATGAGGATTTTTTTTTTACAAGACCGCATTTAGGGAATACAAGATAAATTGAAGACAATATTTATGCATCGGCCAGGAGCCATATGTCTTTTTAAGACAGTTACAGTATTGTTTTTTTTTTTTTCCTCTTCCTTTATTGTTGTTGTGCTAGCATTCATGCAATAAATAAAACTCAGAAAGCTAGAAAGAGAGTCAGGTCTCTTTAAAATCCATTTTTATAACATAAATTCAAAAAGAATTGAGTCACCATAAGCCTGGACAATTTAACAAGCCTTCCAGGTTAGCAGCTTTTCCCTCCCCAACTACATTGTGACAACAGACGTTAAAATCTAACAATAAGGGTCTTCAATAATAAAATGTGACAGATTTAGAGATGAGATGAGGGTCTAGCCTTTGAGACACCCCTGATCCATCCTAACTCCCCCTCACCCTCGTGATTTATCTTCTTTCAGATGATTCAGCAGAACACTCAGTGAGGTTTTAATGAGTGCAGAGCGCTGAGTGGCAGTCTGCTACCAGCCTACTGCACGATCCAGGCAACCCTCAACACCGGTCTACCTTATCTCCGGGCTATTCTACACTTTGCCAGGCTGACCTTTCTTTCTGTAACGCACACTTGGTCTGGGGCCCAGCCTTCAAGTCCTCTGCTTCTAGTAGCAGTCTTGTTTTCTTTTGAGAATTCACTAAAAATTTAAAATTTGCTTATCCCTGAGTCTCCAGTCATCGTGGCAGGGTTGGGGCTCGCCCCATCCTGAGCTAAGGGTGTTGGGGCTTGAAAATTTAAACTAGGCCTTCAGCACTTCGTATACTGCCTTCTTCTGGTAACAAACACTGAGATGAGCACTTGAACCAAGCCTGCCTGTAGCAGCCACCCAGACTCAATTCCTCATTTGTTACTGGAGCCACTAGAAAAGCTGATGACCTTCTCCCCTACACCTCAGTCTTTAAAGATGTGATCCAGGAGATGCTGCAACCATTCCATCACCGTGATGGGAAAGCCTACCTGAGAAAAGAGCCTGCCCAAAGGATGCAGAGTAAAAAGATGTAGGAAGAAACCAGTAACATCATTTGGGCTACTGGATCCAGCCAAGCCTAAAGCTGGGTCCTGGGTCCATCCCTGGACTTTTCCAGTTCTGCCGGCAAATGAGTCTGAACAGACAGACTTCTCATGCCACTGATTTCAAATGGCTCTGCTCTTGCTATCAAAACTTTCTCCTGCCTACAGAACAAAGTCAAATTTCTTTAGTCCAGCATCCACATCTATGCACAGGATAGCTCCAGCTTACTTCCCCACCTTTACTTTTAATGGATACCTTAAACCACTCGATCCCCAGAATATTCACCTTTGGAAAAAGTCTTGCTTTTTTCTAATAAATAACTCAAGTGCTACTCACCCCTTCCCCCAGAGGTTTCTCCTTTCTCTTAACTTTACATCACACTCACTGCATTCAGCTTTTTTTTTTTAAACATTTGTCATAAAATAACGTTACTGCTCTCATCCTCTAATTATTTTTAATGGGGCAGTATGGGTGCTGAGATGTGATAGGTGACCTCAAGGAGCTCGCCAACTAATGAATGAATCAGTGACCAAATATTTATGCAAAGTTTTATAATTATAATTAAGCAGTGTAAAAAAACTTTTTAAAAAGATCAGCCTTTCATAAGAAGGCATAAAGGAACCTAAGATGTACAATGAGGGACAGGGAAGGCCTCCCTGAAAAAGTGACCATTCATGCACAAAGAGAAAGTCGGTTATGATCAAGAGGGAACCAGACGGAAGTGATGAGAGCTGGGGTCAGAGGTCAGCAGCAGGAATTTGCATGGACTGTCAGAGGGGCTTGGCGAAGGCTCTAAACCCTATCCTACCAACAAACACAACGGGCGGTTGGCGGGGGATCATCAGGGAAGTGGCCTGAGCAGTTCTGCCCTTTAAAAGATCACTTATGAGAGCTGGGTGTGGTGGCGCACGCCTGTAATCCCAGCACTCAGGAGGCTGAGGCAGGAGAATCGCTGTGAGCTCGAGACCAGCCTGGGCTACATAGGGAGTTCCAGGTCAGTCTCAACTACATAGTGAGACCCTGTCCCAAAAAGCAAAAAAACAAAGCAAAACAAAAAAATCACTTATGTCATGCCACTTTAAAAAATGGATTAGAGGAGTGAACTGCTACAGTGGTACAGGGAATCGATCATGGGGGCTTGAACTTTGGTGATATCAATTATATTTTAGGGTTTTTGTTTCTGTGTCAGGGACAAGGTCTCACGATGCAGTCCAGCCTGGCCTTGAACGTGCATTATAGCCCATGCTAGCCTCAAGCTCCTCCATTAGCCTCTGGAGTGCTGGGATTAGAGGTATGCACTACTGCGCCCAGCTTTATAATTAGTTATATTTTGTAGGCCGAAGCCATACAACTTAGTGATTTATTGGATGTGGAGAGGGATGTGGGCAGTGGTTGCAGCTACTCTATAAAGATGGACAACGCTTGGAGGAAAAGCAAACAGGTTCGAAGGAGGCTTATCTCAGGGAAGTTAAATCTGAGGAAGTTTTAGAATAAGTGCATTTATTCAAAGATGGTTAGATATATAAGTTTGGTGTTTAAGAGAAAAGTCTAGCCTCTAGATATAGATTTGAAAGCCTGGCGTGGAGAGTTTTTAAAGCCATAGGGGTGGATGAGCTTACCCAAGGAGAGTGAGAAGCAAAAAGGAGACTGGGCCATAACTGCAAGAAGTCCAATTTTAAGAGGTTTATTTGCTGGGATAAAGGAAACACAGATAAGAGGCAGAAATCCCTAGCTTCCCAGGTGGACTGAAACTTCCTGAGGAGAGCAAACTAGCTAGTCTATTTCTCCAAAAAGACAGCGCTTTAAATTTAGCAGGTATTAAAGAAAAATTTAGGAATTATACTCAAAAGCACACAAACATTGGGCTAAGAATCTGAAGACTCAAGTGTCAAATTTTATGTCTGGGTGTAAAGAACATCCTTAAGTCCATATTCCTAATTTAAAATGGATGTGACAAATACTCCTTCATTCAGTAAGTATTAAACAGAATCTGTAAGCACACTTCCTAAACCTGGAAAGAGAAAATAGGGTAGATGGACAAAGAGAATAGTGCTCTCAGTGTTATTTTATTTAACTCTTACCACCTGCCTATGGGTGACAGTTCTGCAAAAGATAGGTTTTGCATGTGATAGCTGAGGAAACTGAGGTCTATGATTTTCGGTTGCACAGCCAATAAGCAGTCCAGAATTCAAACTCAGGTGCACCTATCTCTCAAATCTGAATTTCCTTGTCTACAACACACAGTCCTCCAGCCGCTATTCAACTAAGAAGGCAGTGTGGTCCTGACAAAATGTTAAGAGCTGCTGTAAATGCTATGGTTTAAAGATAGAGATGATCAATATGATAAGGGTGGTCCGGAAGTTCTAGAGGACCAGCTGGACCTTGCTAAGTCAGGAATGTTCATGGGGCAGGGCAGTGAATCCCAAAGCCTCCACACCAACATAAGCAAAGTGTCAGAAAGTCTCCTCCTATGTGCTTCACACAGGAGCTGTGAGAGTATGTTCTGAGAGTCATCTGGCTGGTCTGTCATGATGAGTTCTGGACCGGATGCAGGTAAATCCTTTAAGGTCTGGAAAGCATGTAACTTTGGCTCTAATTTTGCTTTTCACTGAAAGACATGATGCCGATTATGGGTACAATAAAACAACTAGTGGCTTTAGTAAACTATTGTCTCTGAACCTTCATTTAGTCCTATTTTAACTCAACTGGCATCTGACCCCACACTATCCCACTCCCTCATCACTCAATACTGTGCACCTTGATAAAACGGAGCCTAAATAGTCTTTCTCATGGCTCAAAGGCTTAGCACAACACTTTGCCCGTATTAGTTATTGTATATGTTTTTAACTATTAGAAAATAAGTAAAATTATACTGTAACAGTTGTCCAGCAAAGCATTGAGCCTTGAGAATGAAAAAGAGGAAGAAGAGAGGATGCCAAGCTTCCCCCTCCATTACTAGATTTTTATCAAATAAAGGGGGAAGCAGAGAAGCAAGCCCCACATGTTCCATTTTCAACATCAACAATCTCGACTCCCAAGTTAACTGGTCAATTGAAATACATTCTGAACTTGCCAGAGAACTCCACTTTCGGCAGCTACAAATTAGCGATTCATGTCACCCCCTTTAAAAGTCTTAAAGCTGCATAGCATAGCAAGGGCAATGTTCATAGTTCACTATTTGCAGGGAAGCAATCTCACCAAGGGTGAGGGTGGGATGACCTGAGGTCAGGAAACTATAAAGCTTGACCTCTTTCTTGATTTAAAAAAAAAAAAAAGAAAAAGAAAAGTCAACTGCAAACAATTACATAAAGGCTCAAACTTTCACAAGACCTCCCATTTATAACAGACTTAAAAGTATGCCAAGGGCTTTCTCTTTCATCATTTCCACTCGATTTCTCCACAATAACCTCTGAATAAGCAGCACTGAGCACAGCGCCTAAGAGTGCGGCTAATATTCACTGAACAAAGGCCAGACAGCACTTGTGAGCATCTCCCTGCACAGATGAGAAACTCTGGCTCAGAGCTCGCCCCAGGGCTCCCGGAGGGGACGGCGCTCAGCGGGCCCATCTGTAAAAAGTGTGTGCGAGGGCCGAGATGCTTTTCCTCGGAGTCTGGTGCGCTCTTCAGCGTTTCAGCAGCCCGCGGGCCCCAACGGCCTCAACCTTCCGTGCCCAGGTCCTTTCGGGGTTCAAGATTTCCAGCCCTGCTCTCGGTCCCACCTTCCCGTCCCACCCCTTTCTCCGCGCGCCGCGCACCCGCTCGGCAGCCTCCTCCCCTCGCCCACCTCGACAGCCACAGTTAGAGGAGAGAAGAGGCCGGCCTAATTCTGGAGCTGCTGAACCCGGATCGGCTCTAAACACGGAACCAGTCCGGCGCTGACTAGCCCACTGCGCCTGCGCAAGAGTCGCCGCAATTCTGGTAGGAAGGGGAACCTAAGCCTTGGACTTTGGTTCCGGTGTTTGTCGGTGCTGCTCGCTGTTGGCCTTTCTTGCCAGCCTCTTGAAGAGCAACTTCCATAACAGATGGACCCTTAGATTAACAGTCCGGACTGCTAGTTATGAAAAGGAATGAAACCCCTAGCAGAATGAAAGACAGGCTAGGAGCCTTCCCACCACCTGGGATGACTCTGAGCCTTAGTTTCCTGGCTGTTCATGTGAGGTTGAAATACACTCTTAGGTGTAAATCCCTTATACTGCTGCCTGGCCCATAGTGTAAACACGATGTTAGTGTAAAGCTGTATCATCCCAGGTATTTTATTGCACAAACGTTATCAATTTTACTTTTGAAATAGATTTATTTATTCCCCATTAAGTTTTTTGATACATTTTAGGTATACAGTACAGTTACAGTCATCATTGGGGTCTTGTGCCTTTACATGATGTATCTTGGCTCTTATTTTTTCCCCAATCCCTTGCCCTCCTTCACCCCCCTCCACCCTTTCCTATTTACAAAGACTTTGTTTCCATTTTTTTTCCTTTTCTGGTATTTTTCTTTCCCTTCTTACCTTTTCTCTACCTCTCCCACTTCCCCTACTCTTTTAGACCTTTTCTTCCTATTACACAACATCAATTATACATTTTGATCCTCATTTACACTCTTAGTTTTGTTTTCCACACCAGAGAAACTATTCTGTATTTACACATGTGTGTCGTATGACTTCCACTCTAGTATGGCTTCAAATATGCATCCACTTAGCTCTAAATGTCTCTAGTTTCTCATTCTTTATGGCTGAGCAGTACTCCATTTTATTTTTTTTAAGCCTCATCTTCTTTATCCAGTCTGCAGCTGATGGGCAATTATTATAGAATTATTTATAAATAGAATTATTTATATTGTTAATATATCAGTACAAGGTTTTTTCCTCCCCTCTCATCCTATTTAGAAGCCTTTTCTCCTTTATCTGAGTATTTCACCATCTTTCCTAATCTGCTGATGAAAAGGTGTTTTTATCTGAAAAAAAGTGTCTTTGGTTGAACATGTTATATAAAAGAAAATCTATAATTTTCATGTTGAGAAATGGAAGTGGAGGCCTCACTCAACATTTGGCTAGTGAAGGCTACCACAATATTTCCTTACTTTTTACAAAATTTTTCCATTAATAAAAAAAATCTCACTTTCTTTTCTGAGACTATAGTCTTACTTTCCTTGCAATATATGCATTTGGTGCATTTTCAGTCAAGAGTTGGGGTCTATTTCTCCAACCCCTTGAATCTAGGATGACCTTGTTTTTCACAGAGACAAAGCAACAGAATTTTCATTGTGGAAGTTCTATCCTTAGATCTCAGAGCACCTGTAATGTCCACTCTCTTTCTTGCAGCTAGGGTGACCACCATCCTAATTTACTTAAGTCTTCCAGGATATGGGAAACTGAAGTTTCCCAAGGTATGGAACACTAACTGCTAAAACCAGGATGGTCCCAGGCAGACTAGTGTGCTTGGTTGCCCTACTTGTTGTCCTGAGACTGCCATCATCCTTACAGATGAGTGAACCCAAAGAGAGAGGGGCCCAGTCAACATTCAGCACAAACAGCTCTTGACTCACCCAGACCCAGTCCAGTCCCCAGATGATAGCAACTGCATGAGTTAATTCAGGTGAGACCAGCAGAACCACCAAGATAAATATATCAGAAATTGCTGTCTTTACAGAACTGTGAGCAGATAAAATAGTTGTCTTTTTTAAACTACCTAGTTCAGCAGTGGTTTGTTACATAGCAATAGGTAACTGATACATTTCTATAGTCCCTTAACTACAGGATATAATACTTTTTAAAAATCCAAAGAGGCTGGGCATAGTGCACATTCCTATCAGCCTAATGTTAGGAAGTACGTAGATCAGGAAAAGACAACATAGTTTTAGTTCAGGACTTGGGAAAGAGCAGGAGATGAGACCACAGATGCAGACAGAAGCCCAGTCCTGCAAAACTGTTTGTGCATGCACAGAAGTTAAGACTAACCCATTTGACATATAAATCCTCCAATTACCTCTACCTGCACCCACCTCCTCTCAAAGGACTCTTGTGACACGGTCATGTTGTACAGAAAGATAAAATAGAAGAAAAAATGCCTAAATCAATTTCAGCAAATTAAATCTCACCAAACTACCTCCTTGTCTGCAAAAGGAAATGATAATTCACACACAATATGACCTATATCTTAGAGATGGGATGAGTATCATGTAGGTTAGTATGGGAAGGGGTTTTATAAAATAACAAGCATTTTGTAAACATAAAGCTATAATATTGAAGTGCTAGGACATCCAGGCCCTACCTTTTTGATCCCATGATATGATCTCACCTATCGCAGTAAGAATCATAAATGTTTCACCATTGCTTTTGGTCTGTCCTTGGATTCTCCCAGTCTCGTGTAAGAAATCTTTGTTCTTTACTTACTGAACCAACAGGTAATTAGTACACTTTCTAACTTTTGTTTTATAGGGTTTTTAAACTCATAAGCATAAATTGTTTCATCGTCTGACTACGTATTCACTGAACAAACTTTTTTTTTTTTTTCGCATCTGCCTCTGTGCCAGATACAGTCAAAGGTAGTAAGAATACACTCACGAGCAAGACAAAGTCCTTGTCCAGAGGAAAAGACAGATGCTAAAAATCACTGTGTAAATAGAAGCTCAAGGGGTGAATAAATGCCATAAGAAAAAGCTCAACGTGGAAACAGTGACGGGATGGAAGAAGGGGGCCTCCTGGTCAAACAACGGCGTTGTCAACTGCCGAGGGAGAAAACTTGTAGTCCCCGAACAGTTTAGGAGCAGCTGGGGAGCTGTCCTTTCAGCACCCCTTCCATTCACTGCTCCCCTTTGCTCATCGGAGATGTTGGACATTCACTGCGGTGTGTGGTGTAGCTGTGGTAGGGTGAGAGGAGAGAAGATAGATAAGTTGTTGTCTTTTTCCCAGAGGGAGTGCACGAGGCTGGGAGTGTTGGAAATGCGCGATGCTACAACATATCCATTTTGCTTTCAGCCATATAAGAGCGGTGAAGTATTTGGTTCTCTGTTTCCTTCACAGCTCTCTTCTCCATGCTTGGTCATGCATAGATCTCCATATGGCCACCCCTGGAAATGACTCATTTCTTTCAGCTTCTCAGATATTTGCATCTCTCCTGCCTTAGGACCTTTGCTCTTCCTGCTCCTTTAGCTTGGAATTCCCTCATCTCTCCTTTCTCCAGCTTGACTTAGCTTCTGCTGAGATGACATTTCCCCAGGGAATCCTGCCGCAGGGTGTTCAGTTCAGACTAAGTCAGTGCACTGAATATGTACAGGCAATGATGCTGTATGCAAATGGCCACAAAAGCTCAGCAGCTGACACCACAAGAATACATTGAACTCCGAATGTGCAGGTAGCCAGAGGTCAGCCGGCCTAGGTTGGGAATGGCTGAGCAGCAACGCTGACCTCAAGAGGGCTTTCACTCATCTTCAGGCCTGTGAGGTCGACCAGCCTCGGTCCCCAACCCCTCTCAGTCGGGAAGCTCCACAGGAACGGTGCTGCTCCACCTGTCTCTCATCCTTCTCATGGGTCCAGCAGGCTGGCAAGGCAGGTTCTCAGGGTGATGTCAGAGGTACAAAAAAAAAATGAGAACATACCAAGGCCTTTGAAGGCCTATGCATGGGACCAGATCACTGTCACCTGTATTTCTCCATTCTGGCCCAAGCCAGTCACATGGCAAGATCCAAAGTCCAGGGGCTGTGGAAATATACTTTGCTGTCATGGAAGAAACTTCAGGGCTGGGGATTTAGCTCAGTGGCACTGCACCTGCCTCGCAAGCACAAGGACCTGCACCAAAACAAAAGTCACATAACCAATTTGACAATACAAGGAAAGGAAAAGACCTAGAGCCCACGCCAATTAGGTTTCCCATTTCACCATCTCAGAGCAACCTAAACTTCAATTATGAGGCTTGCTACACTTAAAATACTTACAGTATACCTATTTCCTATGTTATTTTCCCACCAGATAATAAACTCCACAGGGTAAAGAACAAATCAAGATTATTTATTTCTAATGAGATGCCCTAAAAAAAACTGGTTGATATGTACAGGTGTTCAACAAATACAGTCATACCTTGCTTGGTACTTTACTTCTTTGAAACTCATAGAGTTTGGTACTTGACATGTTTTTGTTTTGTTTTGTTTTGACACAAAGCCTCTCTATGTAGTGCAGGCTGGACTTGAACTCACTGTGTAACCCAGGATGGCCTCAAACTCACAGCAATCCTTCTGCCTCAACCTCCCAAGGGCTGGGACTACATGCGTGCGTACCACCACACCCAGCCACCTGACACATTTTGACTTGAAAGTTCTGTCCTTATACTTGTTGTTTGTTTGGTACTTAAGCTAGAATGTGTCTATTGCCTCATGACTCACCACATTTTCCAGCCAACACAATGCATGTGGTATATATTTTTGTACTCACAGTGCTTCCTGGAATCGATTAAAGACAAGTACCGAGGTTCCACTGTATTTGTTGATCAAATGTGTACGTGTGGCGGAAACAGTGGCAGGTGTTCACAGGAGTGAGGGATAGTTCTGAGTGGGACAAGGCGAGCTTCCTGGAGGAAACAGCTGTGCCTGAGCATTAACTGCATGTCCCTCCACCTCACTTCTTCCTCTGATCTTGGAGCAGACTAAAGTTCACAGTTCTTTGTTCTAAACACTAGCATTCCACCACCTGTCCCTTTGTAGGTGGCCAGGAGGCCCCTGCAGGGCTCAGATGCAATTCAGAGTGCCCTGAACTGGAGCCACAAACTCTCTAGATTGTACCACTGGTGTTCCTATTCACACTCTCCATTGGCCAGTCTGCCTCGCATGCCCTAGCCTTGCAATCCTACCTCCAAATGGTAAGCAAAATGATTTTGCACATCAAAAGCCCTCCGATAGCT